CTTACGTTACACGTAACGCTCCGGTGCGTTTAACGGGCAAAAAGGGAGAGAGGGAGAGAGAGAGAGGGAGAGAGAGGGACACTGTGACGCTCTCACGCGTTCTTTAATGGAAAGCATCGAATTTTTCTCCGTAAGCACTGAGCATCCATCAGCGAGCTCCATGTATCTCTGAGAGGCTATTAATATACCGGAATGATCGCTCGCTATTCGCATATCACTCACCCCCGATCGGTGCTGCATAAACGCGCCGCGTCATTTCGCATGCAACCGCTCTCGAAATTGAGTCAAACCCATTAGAGATGTCCGCGAAAATATTTCGCGAGGGTGGCCGCGAGCTCTCTCGCTGTTGAACATTATTTCTCTTCGCGATGCAATAACATTGTCTGATACACGCGATGAGGTTTGTCTCGTTCGTCGAACACTACGGCCGTCTCGTCTTTAGCATGTAGAACTCGCGGGACTCGAGTTCTCCGTATTCTGTTATTTTTCCTCGGAAAAGCGGACGGATATATATATATCGTGAATATGTATAGAGAATTGTGTGTGCAATTCATCGCTGTATTCCAGACAGAACGCAATATCAGCCAAGGCGCGCATCACCCGCTGCGGACAACCACAGACACGACGTTGTCTTTTGTCGGGAGCGACGCCGCGGAAGCTCCGCCAACAATAGACTCGTCGGAGTCTCCATGGCCCGTCGATTATGATTATGAATAGCCGCCGTGGCCTCCCCCGTCGTAATTGTTAATTAGCCCCGGCATTTCCAAACTCCGCGGGAATCCATTCAGTTCTGTGTTCCTGGGGCTTCGCCGGTAGTTTCTGATTCCACGATGTACGGACGAGAGCGCGAGCTAGGTAGCTAGCTAGCTAGCTAGCTAGCTACCTACCTACCTATCTCGGATCCCGAAGTTGCTCAGTGATTTAACATGAGAGAGCCACCCTTGTTTGCGCAAGTATTCAGCTTCCGTCTCGCTCGCGAAAGTTAACCTCTGGCTGGGTAGAGAATCCGCGCGTATATCTATTCCCGGAGATGTTTTCGCGGAGACGTTGCGCGCAAATAGAGCCACGGCATCGCTGAACAACCGCGAGACATGACGAGCGGCCGTTTCGACTTGCACTTTGAAAATTTTAATCGAAGCTCGACAACGTTTATGCGCAACGTTCCCATTTGTGAAGTAAGAGGAAAAAAAGAAGGAATTCCTTAACCGTGAGATTCTCCTGTATCGTCGGGGCTGTAAGCGCGAGTCGCGATTTTCGAGAGCTCGTCAATTTCTTTCCCGTCTCTCCCTCTCTTTCCCTCGGCGCAATGGGATGCTCATTACTACGCGAGGTAGAAGGGTGGTCGGCGCGACGAGAAACGGTAATTGTTTTTAATCACTTGGTCGGTGGGTGGAAGTTCGTCGAAAGGGGCGAAAGCCGATGGCGGTTAGCCGGAAACCATCCCTCCTACCCACTTTCACTTACCTTAATGCCGCGACGCTTCCTCACCCTTTCTGCGGGAACGTGCACGGCTGAAAACCTGTATCCAGCGTGTAGATAACTGAAATGAAAATGAAAAATAAGTGAAACAATTTAATATTCGCTCAATATTTCACATCGTGTATCGCGATGTATCATCGAGAAGTCTACTTTGATATTTTTCAATATCACTTTCTACCACATTCAAGGGAAACGAATCATTTATTAATCACACGGGGAAAATATTACAGCCTTTTTAATTTTACTATTTCTAAAATTTTTTAACAGTACTTAAAAGTTTCATTTCCTAAAATATAAATAGCACATGAGGGGCGAAAGGACAATGAAATACTTTAAATCGATCTATTTCTCAGTTAAAAAATTGTACAGTAATTTTCACTACAATTTTCTCCGTGCGAATAATTGTCGTTGTTATTAATGACCCCTCACCACTTTTTTGGCGGTGGATTATTAAAATTCAACTACAGTAAGGAAGAAAATTCAACAAGAGCCACCCGCAAGTAATTTAATTTCAGTAATTGTATGAGACAAAATTGTTGCCACACATTGCACGCACATAACGCGCTTTGCATTTCGATTCGCGGCAACATGCGTCCGGCTTATTTCGGCGGTCGATCATCCCGATAGATTACGACACGTGCGGACGTAATAGTGGACGCGTAATCTCGCGGTCGTTTGTTATTCCGCAGGACGGTTTCGATTTCTTCCCGTAATCGTGTCCAAACAATGCTGTGTTTGCGTAGGAGTCGACGAGTGCCGCGTGCGGCCGACAGCGGGGTAATAAAGGCCCGCGTATGAGAGACACGCGCGACCGTGTCGTGCTTGTGTGTGTTTACATTAATTTCTCGTAAGTGCAGAGTCCGGCCGGCAGCGTCTAATGCGACACGAAAGCGCATAATTTGCATTGCATCACGGGCCCCGTAATACATCGGTAATTATTTATTCCCTGTATTACGCGTGTCGTGTTTGCGATTGGCGGTTACTAGGTTCACAGTATGGTACGTATGCGCGTACAACGCGACGAGCAAAGAGAGAGAGAGAGAGAGAGAGAGAGAGAGAGAGAGAGAGAGAGACAGTATGCTGTAATTGGCCGTTACAACGCGCAGAATAATCGAACTGCAAATGTCGCGCCGATAAATTAACGCCGCCGTCTTCATTCAATGGAACGGCGTGTGTCTGGAAAATGAATTCCCGCGATAGCAGGCATATGTGTGCGCGCGTGCACACACACCCATCGCGAACGTTATTACGGGAAACATTGTCCGTTCGTTCACGATTAAAACGATTTGTGAAATTCGTGAAACTCGAACGTTCGCTATTACGAGGCATTTCGTGGCGCGTGTTCTGGAAATTAATAAATGCTCGCAATAATTATCGCGATAATTTGTCGTGACAATATGTATTTTGCTTCCGTGAATTTATCGCTAATGAAAGCTTGTGCTCGTGGTAAACGTCCGGGCTTCTCGTTGATACTAGTCGAGAAATTCAATCAGGAGTTATGATCGAAGCTTCGATCTCGTCTCCCGGCGTCGAGCATGTCCAGTCGTGATTGTAACACGAGAAGTGCGAAAGGGCGAAAAGGGAAGAAAGAGATAGAGAAAGAAAGAGAGAGAGAGCGTGCGAGAGAGCAGGATAGATGTATACACGGCAACAACGCGGTAATATACGTTGGCGAAACTGACAAACAAGGCTCGTAACGGGTTTTACGCGTCGGGCAATTATCAGAGTTGTCAGGCAGTCGGTTTAACGCCTCCATTTACGCGCGTATAAACGCGAACGGGAGTCGGACCCGCGAGCCAACGAAATGCGAAGCCCGGGTTGCATTAATCCCCAAGTCGGACCGTACCGCAACGTCGCCCGTTACAAAATACCATTTTACACCGCTCAGCCGAAATTCACTCCACCCAGCCGGCTTGTTTAATCTGAATCGTAGCGTTTAACGCGAGAGCCACCGTCAAACGTATCCAGCCCGCCGTTCGACGATTTACACGCGCACACTTCGCGGCACGTTGTACTTTCACTGGCCGACATGAATCGGACGATGGGCCGGCGTTATTCGCGATAATACATTTCGCGGCCCGTTCGCGCACCGTTGTAACGGCACGCGCGGTTATTCCAGGCTAAATCAGACGTCGTAATTCCGACCGGCTCATGGCGATCGTGTAAAATATTGATCGGGCCGTCCAGCCGCGTTTTCAGCGATTTCTCCTCGATCGCCGAAACGAGTCGCGGGTCGGCGTAATTAGTCAATTTCCGGCTGCGCTCGCACGCCTCGAGAGAAATGCGCGGGGCGTGGCGGCGCGCGACTTCCGATCGGAGATGAGAGAACCGATGAGTCAAACGATCCTTAAACCTTGGCTGACCGACTCACGCTATCCGACCATTAGATCTGCCGATGATAGATGTAAAGAAGCGCGACGCTTTCGGGACGCGGGGGTGGAGGACTCGGACGGAACACCATGCGCGACTTAGCGCGCACGACCTAAGGAATATCTAATTATCTAACACGTGACCCGACACGTGTGGGAAGCTCCCGTCGATATTTTCTGATTCATTTGCCGACCCGGAGAGAATGGCGCCGCTCTCGACCCCCTCGGCGTGATATTTTGTAAAGTTTACCCGGCGCGGCGCAGTGTGAAACGCATGCTGTTATTAAGGTCGCTGGCGGTCTGCAGAGCGGAAACGCAACCACCGCACGCGTCTACCTGCGTGTCTCCGCACGCGCGTCGTGCTCGCGTTACAAACGGCAGTTAGTCACTCGTCGCTAATAATGGTGGAGAAGAGAGAGAGAGAGAGAGAGAGAGAGAGAGAGAGAGAGAGAGAGAGAGAGAGA